AGCAATGAAATTTTCACCTTGTTCATGTGTAAAAGCAATAAACGTATTTTTCATGAACTAATAACGTGAAAATTATTTGGAACAAAAAATATTACAAGTTCAAGTTCAAAAATCAAATTAGCAATGAATTTTCATCTTGTTCAAGGATAAGAGCAACAAATGTATTTTTCATGAACTAAACACGTGAAAGCTATTTGGAACAAAAAATATTGTAAGTACAAATTCAAAAATTCAAATTAGTCATGAATTTTCATTTTGTTCACACTTAAGAGCAACAAACGTATTTTTCATGAACTAAACACGTGAAAACTATTTGGAACAAAAAAAATTGCAAGTTCAAATTCCAAATCAAGTTAGTAATGAAGTTTCACCTTGTTCAGGCGTAAGAGCAACAAACGTATTTTTAATGAACCAAACACGTAAAAGTCATTCGGAACAAAAATATTTGCAAGTTCAAATTCAAAAATCAAACTCGTAATGATTTTTCATCTTGTTCAGGCATAAGGGAAACAACGTATTTTTCATGAACCAAGCATGTGAATAGTGAAAAATATTCCGAATAAAAATAACTGCAAGTTAAAACTCAGTAATCAAACTAATAGTGAATTTTCATCTTGTTAACACATAAAAGCAATAAATGTATTTTTCATGAACCAAATATGTGAAAACCGTTTGGAAGAAGCACTTTTGCAAATTCAAATTCAAACATTCAAACTAGTAATGAATTCTCATCCTGTTCACATATAAAAGTAACAAACACATTTTTCATGAACAAGTACACATAAAAATTATTTCGAAGAAAAACAATTGCAAGTTCAAGTTCAAAAAATTCAAACTAGTAGCGAATTTTCTCATGGTTCACACACGTAAAAGCAATAAGCATATTTTTCATGAATCAATTACTTTCTGATAATAAATAATGATGAGACTTGAATACAAAAAAATTTATCTGTTTTGATATTATGTTAAAATGTTTGATTAACTAATTATCTCATCTATAAATTCAATATATTAAAAATAATACAATTTTATTTACTTAATTATATATGTCACACAAATGAATACTTAAATGCCAATGTAGAACCACCAAGGATAGTATCCCTTCATTTTAAACCACTATCCCTTCATTTTAAACCGTGGTTTTAAGTTCAAGCTTTAAATATGATAAAAAAAAACAAAAAAAAAAACTCTTAAATGGATCCTACATGTCACAATTCAAATTTATCAAAATTCTAATACGAATACAGAATACCGACTTAAAAAAAAAAACAAATGTATGAGCTTTTCATGCTTCTTGAAAGGCCAAATACCTAAAAGTCATGTCAATTTGATCAATTATCCCCCAATCCCCTCCTTGTGATAATGAAATTTATAATATCTTACATGATATATGGACAAAGATTTCTTAATCACACATTTTTTGAGAAAAAAGATATGTGGATTAGGAGGAGATTAAGGAAATCTAATCCTGAATTAGCACGTGGAACAACCATAACTTACCAAAAAATATAAAATAATTTTATGCTTTCACGGATTAAAATTAATTAGGGACCACTAATTTAACAAAAATATTTAGGACCCATTTTTGTATATTTAATTCCCCAAAGTTAAGATATTTTCAGGTAGGAAGTAGGTTATATTTGGACTATTTTAAGTTTGGAAAAAATGTCTAATTTACATCTTTACTTTTAAAATAATTATACTTCTCTTTTTTATCAAAAATTTAAATGTATCTCAAACCTAACAAATTTCCCTAATTCTAATTTTAATTATCCGATTTCACTTCAATAACCTATAGAATCATGAGTGATTAATGGCCAAATCTAGCATTGAAAGTATGAATTCGACAAAAAAATTAATAATTTTGATCTAAAATATATATCGAGAAGTTTATCAAACATTTATAATAGCATAAACTTTTGAATTCATAACTTTCAAATTCTACATTTGTCTCTGTTAGGGGTGTGCACTATTCGGATTAAACCGAATAACCAAATCGAATTTTTATTTGGATTGGCTTTTTGGTTTTTCGGATTGGTTTTGGACTAATAAATTACTTTGTTTGGTTTTCTGGTTTGATTTTGGATTTAAAAAAATAAAAACCGAAAAAACAGAATTATATATATATATATATATATATATATATATATAATGCTTAGGTTTAGAATTAAGTTGGAGTTAACTACTTTTGTCCTTTTTTAGTTATTGCCTTTCATGATGATTACATTTATATTTTATGTTTGAACATCTATAATAGGTACTTATAAGTATTGTGTTTTAAGTTTTACTTATGATTTATATTAGAAAGTATATTTAAGAGATTCAATATTATTACTTTGGTTATGTTATTAATTATTGACATAACCGAATAATCAAACCGAACCAAATAGAGGAAAACCAAACCAAACCAAATTTATTTTGGATTGGATTGGGTTACACTTTTACAAAACCAAAAATCCAAAAATCTAAACCGAATAGTGAAAAATCAAACCGAATGCACACCCCTAGTCTCTATCAAGATTTATAGTTCACGAGTAAATTTTCGACATGGTTGTTTCAACTCATGGATATATGAGTTGCACCCCTCAACTTGTTTGTTTTGGGTCAAGTCCGTCACAATTTTTGCTTTATTATATTATTTTTACTAATATGAAATTTTATTTGTACACTTAATAATTTCTCCTTCAAACTAGGTTTCAGAAGATTCATCACCTTATGAACTTATATACGAGGATTAAGTATATGTCACACACATTATCAAAGTAATTATTGACACCAAAGCTAATATGTATTTTTTTGTGCGCGCATACGTCTCAAAGCTATAATAAAAGTAGTAAATCAATTTGCAAATAAACAAAAACCGTAAAGTTGTCACCATGACATCATTATATCATCTTCATATTCATCTCATACATAGACTAAGATACCATATATCAGGTTTAATTAGTTCAGAGATACTTTTAATACATATGACGTGATATTAATCACTTTGAAACAAGCTCACATGTTTTCCTAGATTAAAAAAGAATCACACCTTGTATTTAACTTCGGATCTTCCTGATTCTTTCTTCTTCTTCTTCTTCTTCTTCTTCTTTTTCAGCTATTAATTCGAGATTTTGTTTGTACAACTAACATTTTAACTCACAATATAAAAAATTATCATTCAACTAAAACAACTTTTTGATATTAGATAATTATATTTTAAAAAAAACTTAGAGAATACATCCAAATAAGGGGAAAAAAAGAAATTACTTGGAAAATTCCTGGCATCTTCATCTGATTAATTAATTAATTACACCATCATCACTTAACCATAATCTTAAAAAGTAAAAAATAAATACTAACTAGCTTTTCATCAGAAATTAAGAAACATAAAAAATATTATAGTAATTTTTATAATAAGGTGGCAGACTTTGAACTTTCCTAGAACTTTCTTCAATAAATATCCACCTAAATTTCAAGCAAGATCTTATACACTGAAAACATTTTGACCAATAGCTCACCAACCCATTTATTTATTCAATTATTTTTTCAACCTAAATCTATTTTTATAACAACTTTGTTTATACACATGACACCCCACTCCCCTTTTTCAGAACGATAATATCCAAGTCACCTTGCGTTCATTCAAGTTCAGAATAGACCTAGCGTATTACTTTTGATTTATTTATTCAATTATTTTTCAACCTAAATTCATTTTTATAACAATTTTGTTAATACACATGGAACCTCACCCCCTTTTTCAGAGTGGAGTATCCAACTCACCTTGCGTTCATTCAAGCCTAGAATAGACCTAATGTACTAATTTCGTTCAAAAGCAGTAAGGTTGGTTCCGATTTAATTTATGCATCCAAAAATCATTAAACTAATATAAAAAATAGATCTCGAATTTGGTAAATCAAGTGGATGTGGTAGAATTTTGAAACTCAAACATGTGACTTAACTTCAAATTGTAGATTTGCACATGCATCACTTTAAATGTAAAATTCGAATAAGTATCTATCTACGACCTCCCGCCATCATAAGTATCTATCTACTACCTCCCGCCATCATAAGTATTGAATAAGCTTTTTAATATCGGATCAAAGTTAATCGCTCAACAATCAAGACTTCACACCATATTTTAAGAGAGCGAGGTAAAAGTATCACCCAAAACTCCTTTGTTGATATTAAATTTTCTTTACTTCTTTGTATACATTCACTTTTTTATATTCCAAGGTTCTGGCTTCGTCACTGCCGTCACATGGCTTAAACTTCAACATGTTCTCCTAAAAGAAATTGTCATTAACTTGATAACAACCCTAAAATTATCCTAACAAAAACGACTCGAGCAAAATGGCTTCTCTACCTTCGAGTAAGGTTTGCATACATACCACCCTCCCAAGATCTTACATGTTGGATTACACTGAGTATATTGTTGTCGTAAAAAAGACTCAGGCCCATCCCTTTCACCTTTTGGCAAAAGATAACTTTTTTCTTTCCTTTAGTTAAATCAAATTTAATAAATACCACATGTCCACAACTATCAAAAGACATAGGCAAGAAAAAACAAATCAAATTCATCAAAATGGTCCTCAAAAAACTGCAGGTACAGCTTGCCAGTTGTAAATGATCCCACAAAAATCCTTTATGGTAGATTTTCACTTGCCAGTTATGCAAGAAAATGATACACAATATACAAATGAAAATAAGATTTTCCTTTGTATATTGTGCATCACTTCCACCACGTCAACGTGACACTCTACCTCTGAGTTATATCCCTTCCCCGCCTCATCGAGAAAAATAACTGACCAATCCTAAGTAAAAGAGTCAGAGAAACTCAACGCCACAATTCTCGCAAAATCGAATTTGGAACTTCCAAATTGTCACTTTTATGTGATTGACATAAGAATGACACTTTGACATACATAGCACAACTGAAGAAAGATTATAAAGTAGAAAGACACAATCAGATGTCATGTGTCTAAACATAGATTTACAAGTTAACAAGAAAAATGTTTTAAAAGGTCCAGTTTATATGATCCAAATCTCCACAAACTAAATTATAACCAAGATGATATTGGTAGCACACAATATCATTTTACAATGGCTAGGAGAACCTGCATAGTCTCAAGGAAGACGTAACCGATATGTAATTCAATACAATCAAAGTTTCCAACTTCAAAAGTTAGTCCTGCTTGGAATCATCCACTCCAACTGCCTTAGGTACAGGATGGGGGGCGCCAGAACTTGGTTCTTCTCCGGTAACCTGTTAGACACAATTTGTTTTGTTATACTGAGATATTGATTAACGCAATAAATAAGATGGACGAAAGGATGTAACGTTAGTTCAAATGGCACAAAGACGAGTGTCACCACCATTTCTAGAAGTTACCAATAAACTTTTTGTTCCATTGATAAATAAATGCAAGAAATCTTTCTATTTCCTCTTCCACTTTTTCTTCCGAGTTATTCAAACAGGTCATAGATTGATCAAGTTTAGAAGCTCAAACTACATGTACTGCAATACTCTATTAGCAAATGGAAAATTTAAATGAGATGTCACAGAAACTATACCATTCACCAGGATTCCGAAATAGTATCCTTCTTTTTATTCCATAATTTAGTGACAATGTATGTCTATAGGTTCAAATAGCTCTGAAGGTCATTAACGTCAAATAGTTAAGAAAACAAAAGTGAAGGTGCGATCTTTGAGTTTTTGACTAGCATGCAATACGTAGCAAAGGCATATCTAGAAACTTGGCTAGCTTTGCCTCTAGACACCATAAACAGACTGTTCTCCATAAACTTGAATACAGATTTGAACAAATATATTCTCTTTTATCATATTTTTTTTGGACATAGATAACTGTTATTCTCTTTTATCATTTTTATGAAAAGCTTTTCAGCAAGTAGTGAAGACCCGATTATTCCTCACTTGACATCATATGCTCATAATACCTTGAAATAAACAGTTTTAGGCATAAAGAAGTGCCAATCTGCACATTTTGATTTTCTTATGATCAATTATGCAATGAACATACACTACTACTAGTTGTCTCAAAAACCCCAAGAGAAAGTAATATCGCAATGTATCAAGATAGAATAAAGCATAATATATGATAATTTGTAGCAAGAACAAAGCTGATGCAAATTCAATGACTGTAGTTTTTTGTTTTTCTTTTTGATGACCTAGAAACCAGTTCAACTTTTAAACTCGGTGGCCCTGCTACTATAGCTTTCCCCATCTAAATACTAGACTTGGTTCAATATGTAGATTTCAAACTCGTGATGTGCGCCTACCAAACATCTTGTAGGCTATTACCTCCTGATGTTGAAAGCAATAGGGGCAATGCAATAACTGTAGTTCCGAGCAGAAACTTTTCTAGAGGTGCATGATATCGTGGTCAAGGTAAATTGTTGTAGTTCAAGAGTAGAGCAAGCAGAGAATACTAATGGAAAATAAACAATGCAAGCAGAGAATACTAATGGAAAATAAACAATGCACAGTCTCAGCCTTATCCCTTGAGATCGGGAAGGTCATTGGTAGCTAGTTTGTGACAGATTGATCAGCTCTACATAATCTGAGGATTTCCTGCAACAAAACTCCAGTCGGTTTTTTGAACGTTACAATATGAATTTGGGAAAGAAAATTTGAAGTCAGGGAATTAAATCCATAAATAAACAGGGGAAAGAAGATTTGAACTTTAACAAGTGTAGGGAACAAACTTGAAAGTGTGAATGAAACACGAAGGATCATTGCAGTGGAGAGTCTCAAATGAAAAAGTGAGGAAGTTATTTTTCATTTCGATCCACAATTTTTTTTTTAAAAGAGAGGGGCAACCCGGTATACTAAGCTCCCGCAATGCACAGGAACCACAACTAAACAGGAGCAGAAAAAGTTAAGGTCTAACATGTCTCAGGTGGGCGTGAACCAAAATGCAGGATTTTTTAAGTTTTCAGTAAACAGGGTAGTTCTACACTGTCTCCACGGAGAAGTATTTCAACCACATTGAGGGTCATATCTACAGATTAATTTTATAAGAACTGAACCCTTAAACCTCATCAAACGCATTACCAAGTACTGTGCAAAAGCTTAAACTCAAATGATAGATCATTGGAGGAGAGTGTTCCATTTGAACCTCGGGCAAACAGGAAATATTTGATAGAAAATTTTCAGCATTCTTTTAAGAGCTGATTGGATAAGAAACAAGTCAACAACGACCCAGATTTTCTTTCCAAATATATTTTTTATTTTTTGTCTACCATTATAATGAGAGAAAATACCACAAAAAGTATACTCAAGAACCTCAACTGTGGACAAAGACTATGATTGAAGTTAAGTTCTTTTGGCGCTTTCTTCATTGTGGGTTAAACGTTTCATTCAACATCGTACTTTGGTTTCATGGTACTCAATATCATGAAGATCTGGAAGAGGAAAAGAATAAACCACAATCACCTAAATCCCCCAAGTTCTAGCATCATGTGCACCAGAATGTCCTCAAAGATTCAGCATATTGATTTTTCAACCCATACTTCACACATTTACATTCATCTTCAGAAAAATTCAGTGTTCTAAATGTTATCATCAAAAAATAGTAAAATACCATCGGGGTATTCAGACAATCACATGCACGGTGCACCATAAGCTAGTGCTTCCCCAAATAAAACAGGATTACAGGTACAAGGAGGTCATTAACTTCAACGAAAACAACTCTTTCCTGAAGAAAGCTAAATGATATTGCATTTCCTATATCCAAATTTCAAACAACTTGTTCACCACAAATCCAAACAAAAGATACATTCAACCACCCAAAACACACACATACACATTTATATCAATCAATTAGCATCAATCCAATTTGTTTGGTTGGCTATATGAATTTATTCCGCTTACTCGGGCATGTGTGTGTAAGGATATACGTGTGGGCACCAATGAATTTCAATCAAACACTCTGAGCAGCTTATTCAGGTATGCATGTGTATACATATACACACACAGGCAACAGTGAATTTCAATCAAACATTCCAACCAAGATCATCTAGTTCATATATTTCCAAACAAGAACAAACTTTTCCAAGCAACCCAACAAGTTGTGAAACAAAAATAGAGGCGGAGCAAGGATTTGAACTTTATGGGTAATGGATTCTAAGAAATGGTCCAAGTGTTAGTAATTCGGTTCTGAATTTAATTTTGTACATATTTGATGATTTTTTTTAACACAAATACAGAGTTTAGAATAAAGCTATTGGGTTAATACCAAACCTACCTATTATATGCTACCACTTATAGAAGCCCTAATAATCAAACTACTTACAGAATTATTGGATTTTAGTAGCTTACAAATCTTTCAAGCAAGTCAACACTTCGAAACAAAAGTCACTCTTTACAATCAAAAAACTTAAAATACTATTGGGTTAGTAGCTCACATGTTTTCAACTCAACACGCCTATACAAAAGATCACGCCTTTGCAATCAAACAACTTACAGAATTATTGGGTTAGTAGCTTACAAGTTTTTCAAGTAAGTCAACACTTTGAAACAAAGATCACACCTTCACAATCAAACACCTCACAGAATTATTGGGTTAGTAGCTCACAAGTTTTTCAAACAAGTCAACACTTTGAAAAAAAAGATCACGCCTTTACAATCAAACAACTTACAGAATTATTGGGTTATTAGCTTACAAGATTTTCAAGCAAGTCAACACTTTGAAACAAAAGATCACGCCTTTACAATCAAACAACTTACAGAATTATTGGGTTATCAGCTTACAAGTTTTTCAAGCAGGTCTACACTTTCAAAAAAAGATCACACCTTGAAACAACCTCTCTATACCTCCCAAGGTAGGTGTAAGGTGTACACTCTACCCTCCACACACCCCACTTGTGGGATTACACATGTGTTGTAGTTATTGTTCGTCAACACTTTGAAACAAAAGATCACACCTTTACAATCAAACAACTTACATAACTATTTGGTTTAGTAGCTCGCAAATCAACACATCTAAGAAAAAGATCACGCCTTTATAATCTAACAAACTTACAGAATTATTAGGTTTATAGTAGCTTCCAAGTTTTTCAAGCAAATCAACACATCAAAGCAAAAGATCACGCCTTTATTATCAAACAACTTACAAAATTATTGGGTTTAGCATCTCCCAAATTTTCCAAGCAAGTCAAACACATCCAACCAAAAGATCAACAACAACATACTCGGTGTCGTCCCACAAAGTGAGCTCTCGGGAGTGTAAACTATCCACAAACCTTACCCTCTACCTCAAAGGTTAAGAGGCTATTTCCAATAGACCCTCAGATCAACACATCTAAGCAAAAGATCACGCCTTTATAATCGAAAAAATAAAAAAACTTACAGAATTATTGGGTTTAGTAGCTGATGGTTTAAAAGGACAAGCAGGAGGTGCTCTTTCTGGTCTCTGATACTCCTTCCCCAACATTCTATAAACCTTCGCCTAAAAAAACACACATAAAGCACAAATTAACACTATAAACATCAAAATTAACCAATTAATTAAGTTTTTAAAGGATCTTACCATGAGAATATGGAAGAGAACAGGTAATAAATTAACGATCGGGACTAGGAACAACGGTATTAAGCAAGCTACACAAACCTACAATTTTTGAAAAAAATCAAATTAAGAAAAGGGTAAACATAATTAATGGAAATTCAATTAAGGATTTTGGGGAAACTATAGATTTTGATTCATACCATTTTTTTTTTAAGATTTGTTTCAGAATACTTTTTCTTTTGTGTTGTTGATTTCTGGTTTGTTTTTGTGTGGAGAAGAAGATTACTTTTGTCTACTTTCCGGGTCAAAGAGTCGACTTTTGAAGGAGATCCAAAAGTCGTAGGGGCGAAGCCGGGTCGGGTCATATATGAGTTGATCGAAAATATGTTAGGCTAAGCCCATTCGATAGCTAACAAATTTCGTGAGCTAGTTAGTTTTGAGATATTGTTAAATCTCTCTAATAATTGTATTTTTGTGAAACGATTTTTTCATATTATTTATATTATATGTTTTGTTGCTACAACAATTAGACTAATGTTGACGAATTTCATACAAAACTTGTTTCCTCTTCCACTTGGAGGAAGAAATTCAATTTTTACAATGTATGATATCACGTGAATTAACGTTTTTTTAATCTTTAAATGTTATTTTTATTGAAATATATATATATATATATTGTATATATGAAATTGTATAAATATGAGTGTGTCAGTGAGTTAAACAAGTCTTGGTTAGGAATTGGTATGAATTAAAGTAACGCTAATATTTTGAATTTATGAATTTTAAATTTTAAAAGATTAATACTTGTAATTTATTACCTTTAGGTATTTGATTTATCTAGTGTTTTTTGTTGGATTATGTTAATTTATCTCCCTTTCCCTTATGTAAATTGCAAATTACAGTATTATTTATGCATGTACTCTTGAGATTACTAACTACTATTGCAAATTTTTAAAAATAGGTTTTTTATATGATTTATATATGGAGATTGAGGATTAGTAAAATATATTTTTGCATCATTTTGAGTTAGGTCTTCAAACATATATGATATATATGTTTATTCTGATTAAATAAAGTGATCCGAATTCATTAAATTTTAAAATCGCTGATGAAATTGGATAGAACAAATACTTATAAATTCATAAGGAAGAGAAAGAGATCATAAACGAGAACAAATAAATATCAATTCACTCACAAAATCTATAATTAATTTAAATCACAAAGCTAAAAAGCTCATGGGGGTGGGGGGTGGGGGGGGGGGAGGTTAATAATGGTGAAAATCATTGAGGAAGAAGATGGATTAAATTGGAAAGTTTGAGTAGTTTCTCAAGTTTTTTTAAACTATTGTACTTTTAAGTTTGAGTTCATGTGATAAATAAATTTATTTAAATTACACGTATAAGTATTTAATTGGTTTATATGACGTGTATGTTTCACGTACTTTTTTCGTTATTTTTTTTTATTAAAACACTAGTAAACTTGGCCGCGCTTCGCGCGGTTAAGGAATTTCTCATTGGATTTACAAACTAATCTTTTACTATTTTCAAAGTTTAAGATTATTTTAAAATAATTTTTTCTTCTTCAAACCCAAATAAATTAGATTTTAATTTTATTTGATTTTGTTTAACCTTTCGTCACATAAGCCTTGATTGTTAGGAAATAAAGTTCATCCTAAGAAAAAAAAGAGAGATTCCCTTAAATTTTGAGCATCATTATTTGTGTTTTGGTGTAGTGACATTCTTTTGTTGTTTAATTAAAAAAATTATATCTTAAATTTCTACTGTAGTACATTTTATAATTTTGAGAAAGTTGTATAAATATTTATATTCGTTACAAATGCTTAGAGGCTTTGCCTATTTCAAGTTCTTATATAATTCAAATTAATTCTTATATTTAACTTAAAAAATTTGTTTCCCCAAGGAAGTGACAATATTTACAATATAAATATAAACTTTAATTTACAGTTTAACGGAAAATACACATAATTTTTTTTTAATTTGTAAGTAAACTAAAGTGCACATATTTATTAGCGTGCTTCGCGCGATTATAAAAGACTATAAGATATTAATAATTATATGTACAATGCAACGTTCTTTTTACGATCTTAATCATTAATTGATAGCATAAAATATAAAATCAATATACAATCTTTTAAGCTCTTATTGACATCCACTTCCACACTGATCAATATTTAATAGCCTTAATCTTTTTTTCCGAGTCAAACAAAAGGATGTATATAATAAGCACCGGAAACACAATAATTCAAAATGCTAATGTGATCATTTCAACAAAGTTTTACAATGTGTCTATTTATAGGATTACAATACGAAATACACAATAATGTCATGAATATGACCATTAATTATTTTAGAAGTTACGTTGATAATTGTTGGGGTAATGAAAATAAAGACCATTAAGTTTTACATTATTTAATATAATTAATAGAGTTAAAAGAAGTGGGTGCTTTAGTTTTTATAATATACTAACACATAAATGAGAAAATAAATAGAGAAAAATCAAATAAAAATGAAAGGAGAAAAAATAATTATATTTCTTGGTGAAAGAGAAATATCAAAATCACTTTTTTTACTCTTAATTTTATTATTATATATAGATTTAAATAGTAAAATAAGTTTTTGTTCTTCAAATGAATTATATTTAACTTGGTTGTGCTTTTCTTTAATTTTGATTCTTGCATTACACGTTGTCTCTTCCTTTTAGCAATTAAAAATGTGGAGAAAGTAATGACATCAAATATAATGGTTTGTAGCCACAAGATTAATAAACATTACCATTAATGATAAATTTAAAAACATCCTAAACCTAATGATAATCAACACTAAAAGTAAATAAACCAATGATATATATATTTTTGACCGATATAAAGTAAAAGGTCCTTGTAATGTTTTGATAAATTATATAAGAAGTTCATCTCTAATTTATTTTTTCTTTTGTTCCTAATTAGAAGAAAATTTCAAAGGACCTTTCCAGGATATGATCTACTAAAAATAAGGAAAAAGAAAAACACACTATGCATAAGTAACCATGAAAAATCCTCTATACAATAATTATGATATTTATTCCTACAACAATTAAACACATTACATTATAAGAACACGTCACACCACTTCTTTTTTGGCGTAATTTTAAAATTAAGATTATTATTATTATTATTATTATTGAATAATAAAAAGAATGAAGAAAAAATAATAATTTCTCAATCAAAGGTGCAACATCATATTTTATATGTGTAACATTATATTACAACGAATAAGAGAAAATTTGTAGCCTGCTTTCGTTCCTATTTCTAAGGCATATTTGTAATAGTATGTTATGATTGAAAATTTTTCTATACTCTGAAATAAAATTTAAGCGAAACTAAAAAAACGAATAAACAAAAGTAGAAAAAAAATCAATTAATTGCCTATATTGAACATATCATCATACACCTCTTTGTCCTCTCTAAAACTCTACAACATTGAGCTTCTATTTATTTATCTAATTTTCTTCATCGTCACTTGAACTCATATAGAGTTGAGTACTGCCACCATCATCTGATACAAAATCAAATGCAAATTTTTTCGTAACATTATAAGAAGAAAATCACAAAAAGCAAAAAATGAGGAGGAAAAATAAAATAAAATAAAAAGACCCAATAATAATTCCACCAGGTTGGGTGAGAGAAATAAAAATATTACCTTTTTGATCCACAAAGATTAATTGCTTGAATGCATTTGCCTCTCCTGTTTTTATAATATCCAATAATGAATACTAAATTACTACAATACAACATTAATTAATTTAATACTTATTAATAAAGGTTAATTATGGGAAATGAGAAGAGACGATTTTTCTACAACATTAATACATATTTGAAAAGTTAATGGTGAATTGTTGTTTCAAATTCCGTAAGTAACGGCAATTTATTTTTATTATTATGCATTAATGAGGTTGTATTAACAAAAGTTAATGGCGATTTTTTCCCTTCAAATTCTGTAATCAACGGCAGCCTTTATTATTATGTATTAATGAGGAGATAATTAAATATTATACTTTAATATTTTGTAAAAGCTTTAATATTTTCTGTCTTTTAAAATGAAAGAAAAATTTCAAAAAAATCCATAAAAATGATAAATAGAAATCCAAAGCCGCTTTAGAGAGCGCCACCTCACCGCTTTCATGTTTCTGTTTTATATAAATATATAGAATATAGATTGTTTAAATTATACGTATAATTATTTGATTGGTTCAATTAACATGTATATTTCACGTTCTTTTACCTTTCCCTTTTACTAAAAAATTATTTAAACTACACGTGTAATTATTTTCTTGATTAATCTGACGTGTCTATTTCACGTACTTTATCAGTTTCTTTTTACTGAAATTTCATTTAAATACACATATAGTTATTTAATTGGTTCGTTTGACGTGTATATTTCATATACTTTCTCTGTTTCTTTTTACTGATTTTTTTTAAAACTACACGTGTAATATGTGACTTGTATATTTCACGTATTTCTTCCGTTCTCTTTACTAAATAAAATATTTAAAATATACATGTAATTATTTAATTAGTTCATTTGATGTGTATATTTCGCATACTTTCTCCATTCTCTTTTTACTAGTAGTTTGTTTAAATTATGTGTGTAATTATTTAATTAGTTCATTTAACATGTATATTTCACATACTTCCTCCATTTCTTGTTTATTAATCCAAGTGAACTATACATCCTCCTTAAGATATCATTTATTAAGTATTTGACGAAGAGTAAAATTTCGTGATAATTTTTTTTATACTTGAAATTGTTGCATTTGAGACGAGAGTCTCTCGAAAATTGTTTTTATATAAGTGCCATTTTTATCATTTTGTATATTGTATATAGTAAAATGAAAAGTTAAAAGGCGTTTCAATTTGCGTATTAAAGAGAGCGTATTCCCTCCCTTTTTTTTCCGGCACTCACTTGGTACACAAAATTGAGCAAAAATTGGGGGAAAAAAGGAGAGCCAAAGCGGTGCATAATTTAACGGCAATGGCCGGCGACAGTGACGGTACAGATCCCGATTACGAGAGGTTTCTCCGTCAAATCGGCGCCGCCGCCGACGAGAGTGAACTCGCCGCCGGTGACATTATTTTGTTAGAAGATGGAGAAGAAGAAGAGGAAGAAGAAGAGATGGATGAAGACGAAGAAGAAGATGAAGAAGAGGAGGAGGAGGAAGAAGAAGAAGAAGAAGAGTCGAGTACTGGAAGGAGGACGTTGCGTAGGGTTTTGTATGGAGATCGTGGTGCTGCGAGAATTTCATCTCCAGAGCGGGTGATTAATGTTGAGAATTTGGATAATTCTGCTGTGGAAAGTGGAGATGATACGAGTAGGAGCAAAGAAGGGGAAACGGCGTCGCAGAATGCTGATAAGGAAGAAGGCGGTGGAAGCGGCGTAGGAGAGGAGTGGAATCGAAGTGAAATTGATGGTTTGTTTTGTTCTATTTGCATGGAAGCTTGGACAAATGACGGTGACCACCAAATTTGGTCAGTAATTTACTTCCTTGTACTTCAATGTAGATAATTTTTTGTAATCATGATGAACGTCAGTAGCAAACAACCATCAAACATATGAATCCACACTATCTACTCTCCTGAATTTGGAACAGTATTGATTTTGAAAAAAATAGTTGTACATATTATAAGATTTTATACATAGCTAGGGATTGCAGATTACAGTTTACAATAGTAATGTTGAGTTCCGGCTTAGCAAAACTGAATGTGCTACGCCTGTAAGTGAGTGTAGAGCCATCTACATTCAATAGTGAGATAGATGAAAAGAAGCCTCAGGTGAATGATATAGCACAATGTATGTTGTTTCTGCTCTAGAAATCTGTTTTTGTTCTATATTTTATTTGTTCTCAAGATCTTTGAAAATATTGTTTTAAAACCTTCATCTTATTGTAAAAAAGAAAAAAATCAGTTTAGTTCAACATGTAAAAGGGAAATAGGATTTGTAAAAACAGCGGTTTTTTTGAAAACTTGAGCAAAGTGCTATAACCTCGAAAGAAACGTTAGATGTTGTAGAAGACTTCTGTTTAGTTTTCCTTGAAGATGAAAAAAATTCATACTAAATTTAGGTCAGTGGGTTGTGTTGCAAAATTTAGGAGTTTGTTTCAATTGGCTTGATTGTAATATGTATTCATGCAAATTCGAATAAATACTACATGGCTGGCACATGTCTCATTATGGATTGAAAGGAACAAAAATGTTTTGATGGTGGCTGTAACACATGTCTCCTCAAGACAACTTTATTAACACTATAGATGTCTTTTGTATTTATGTAGCTGGCCCAATGTGTCCCTTGTAGATTCCTCTAACAAATTTTTTCACCTTATTAACTCCTTGGTCTTAGAATGGCCATGTACGCAAATAAGCTAATTCAATATCTTTTGTAGCCTCAACCATACTACTCTTTTGCATCTTCTTGATGCTTTCAGTGAAGCTTTTTTACTTCATCTAAAACTATCATCACCCTCCCTATTGAAGCACTTGGGTTTTCTGTTCTTTTGACAAGTGACAACTGAATGATCATGGTTCACATCCTACAAATGGTGCATAAATATAGAGGATGAATTGATGGAAGGTTGTTTGATTTTGTTTGTGGATGTTCTGCATACCATGCATTGGTTAGTAGGTGGACAAATATCATGATTTAAGGTATCAAAAGGATATGAAGTAGACCTAAAATACATGGAGAGCAGTTGTCACTAAAGTCTTATCATCTCTTGAAATCAATGTGGTTAGAGCTAAAAACATACAATGTAAATAAAAGACTCATACAACTAATTAAAATTATGGTTAGAGACTTGCATTTTTTTGTAATCATGTCATCAATTATATTAGTAAAATGGCCAAAAACGGCCTAATACAAGTATACCAAAAAGTAAAGAACCTACAAGGCTACAACACTACATGATTCTCTACAAAAGACCTCCAATCCTCTATTCAACCCGGGCATGTTACCCAGCACTAAATGGGTGTGCCAAAGCCCAAAAATCAATAAGGGATTGGAGGCTACTCCTCAACTGCCCAAAAATCAACTTTACCCCTTCAGAAACCCTCTTATTTCTCTCTCCAAATGATCCATATCAACTCTAAATGAACGACATTTCAAGCTCTACACTTTCTCTTTCTTCTTCCAGTTTTCCAGCACAACAACATTTCTTTCACAGATCTAGGCATCACCAAAGTTAGATACTTACATGTCACTGTAGGGATAAGTTTGGTATTTTACAGAATTTTTAGTTTGAGAGAATTCCTGACTTGACGCGAAACATGACTTATTTTAGTAATGTTATGATTCTTGACCCAAATAAAGTTGAACGTATATTGATAATCCGTACAGTTGACCAAACTAGTGAAGTTGAGGTTTAGCTGATTGATTGATAGATATACGACTTATAATTGAAAATATATTTTTCAAGTGTTAATACTTCCATTGTCTTCCGGTGTCTAATCTTTTGCAGCTGTCTTCCTTGTGGGCATCTATATGGTTTGTCGTGTATCAAAAAGTGGTTGAAACAAAAAGGAAGGTTAGGAAAGGTATTTCTTATAATAATTTGGTCCTTGTTTTATACAATATTTGAAGATCCTATTTCAGTTCATCCTTCACATTCTTTCTTTTGTGCTTTTGCAGTGCCCCCAATGTAATAAGAAATGCACAGTGAAGGGTATTCGAGTACTTTATGCTTCTCGACTTCATGCTGTTGATGAAGAACTTCAAAAGGTCGTAATTTGACGCTTATATCTTGAACGTTGCTCCATGAGATACTGATCAAACTCCTTCCTCTTTTGCAGAAAATTAGGTCTCTTGAAGCCAGTTGTTTTTCTCTTGAAAAAGAGGTGAGGAAATAATGAAGGTTTTAGATTTAGTCAGTGCGTTCTCCTGATAGAATTCAGGTCTAACATCTAAATGAATATTCACAGTGGAGACCTTCAAGGTTTTCCATGTAACCTACACAAACTACTTGAGGAAAACATATCAGACTGACCTAGCCCACCAACCCACACCTTCAAAAAAAGAAAATAAAAACAATAGGACGATGGTCAGATGGTTATCTTTTCGCGTCTTCGGGTGAGATTTTCCTTTGCTCAATTTAAAAAGTAATAGTGCAGTTAAAGATATTTGTTAGTTTTCAAATGGACAAAGTTGCTCAAGATTCTATAAACTTGAGGTATGTTTGTGGAAACTTCTTATATAGTTATAGGTTAGGGCAATTTCTCTCAGTTTCTTAGTTGGAAACACAAGGAGAAAGATGAATATCTGTGATGAAGTTGCATTAGCTTTTGCAATCATCTAAAATTAAACAGAAATATATGAGATAAACATAATTCCTTCCCTCATAACGTTTCAACTGTACCAAAAGGGAAAGAATAAATGCCTTGAATTGGAGAAGAAAACCAAAACTTTAGTTGCCCTTACCTTACTCTACCTTGTACCTTCTTCACTATGTAAATCCAAAATTGTTTGCTTTTAACAGCTAGCTTCTTTTCTCTCTGTATGGGTATTCAAGTCATCTGTCACCTTATGCTTGGTTGGGTAGCAAATTCACCCTGGGTTAGCTGCAGCAATGATACTTCTGCTTTAACCTGACTTTTGAAAACAATTTTCTCAGCTCTTTGGAAATGCTATTAAATTTTTTCTTACATGTTCTCATGGTGATTATAAGACCACATTGAATATGTGCAGTGCACTGATTGGTGTAAGAAAGAACTTGAGTGGAGGAGGAGAGAAGTTGAGTTACATAAGCAAGTGGAGCACCTCAAAGAGGTATGTCTCACCTTGTGTGCTATTTCTTCTGTGCTTCTTCTTTGCACCGGCCTCCTTTAATGCATCTATTTAGTTTGGTTGGAAGTGTAGGTTTTTTTTTGTTTTTTTGGGTGGGTGGGTAGGTGGTGGATTAAATTAAATCATTTCCAGAATCACTTCTCCAGTTTGTTGGGTGTCCCCCATGCGTATTGCACTTTTTAAGTGAAATTGTTGCTAATATAACACCCATTGTAAATTTTGTTTAAGCTTTTATTGATGGTCTGCAGATCTAGCTGATTTTGCCTCTTCATCCATATTTTTACTTATTGCTTTCCCTTGTTTGAAAATTCACCCCTTTATATTAAATTAGTTTCATACCTCTTCCTGGAGGACCAGATTGACTTCGGTGCATTTTCTGTAAAACATATTATGCCCTCTTTTTCCTGCCAGCATTCCCTTTTAACATTCTTCAGAATATGACATTTTTCAATGCCTTTTTGGTTAAATCAGGTACTTGTTTTGGCTTTTTTAGAAACATTCTTTAATGTGTGTGTTCGTTCCCCTTCCCTACTTTAGTCTTTCTTCTTTGGATTTTTTTATTTTTTCTGTAGTTTTTTTGGCTTGAGAAATTTGGATAACAAGTTTCAGTGCAATGGTATAGATATCTCTGTTAAACCTTTGTTCATCAAAGCAGCATATTGCTTACTGCATATCTGTTCTTTGTAGAGAACAACTGAGGGTTCAACAACTGAAATGCAAAGCAGGTCATCTGTACGCATTTTTGGTAAGCTTTCGATGAGAAATCTTTGCTTGGGGATATTGAAAATATTGGCAATGTTGTATCATTGTATCAAGCTGATGTTCCAGTACCTATCTATGAGTGCAGGATGCAATATCAACGGCAAATCTGAAAAACGTGAATATGCAAATAGTTTTCTTTTGCAGGTTTGCCATCTCCTCTGCTCTTGTCAAATGTGAAAATTGAGCCATAGGTGTTGTGTTTCTTTTTAAGGTTGACTTCTTATAGCAGCAACAGAGAAATCATTACTCCTTTATCCATTGTTGCTCCACATCTAGTGCAATTTGTGTACCTGATAGTATCAGCAGAGAAATCATTCGTCCTTCATCCATGGTTGTTCCACATTTATTGCAACTTGTGTACCAAGATGACCGAGAAAATAGTACAGGCTGTTCTGTCCCCTTCCTGCTTATTGGCCCAAACATGACCTTTATTTTCTCTTACCTCTTTTTTCCTACTGGTTTTATATTGGGAGTGAACTGGCATATGTTTATCAAATTCACCCCATTGGCTGAAGTTTAGTCGAGTTAGTAACCTTATGTTTTATCTGTTTGTAGAAAGAGATTCAGATTGATGGTGCTCGCCTATTTGATGTGGACATCAATGGTGAGAATTTGATGATTGCCAGAAGGCTCTCTGGAATGGGAGGACAGCATATGCTTACCAAAGTAAATTTTATAGGTCACCTTGTTGGAATTCTCTGAAGGTTTGCGGTCTGCATTTGTCTTTCAACCTTTTTTACTTTTGCATTTTGCAGATCAGTCTGTTGCCTCCGCATGAAAGAGAAGACATTCTGCTTCCTGCGAGCATGAAAACTATCAAGGACTTGCATGTTTCTCCTCATGATAGAGTCATACTCTTGGCTTCTTTAGGGAAGAAGTTGTCAATTCTTAGGTTGATAACCTCCCCCAAGTTTCTGCCAAATAATTGCTGTATAACAGTAAAATATACTTTACTTGATTGAAAAATTTCTGTGTTAGTTTCCGTATTGTGCTCCCCTTCTGGGAAATATCTTATTTATTTGTTCTCTTTCTTTTTGCAGTTCTGAAAACAACCATACTGTTCTGACATACGACTTACCGGTAATAACTCTAGGCCTTCTTTTTATAGTTGCCTTTTGCTTTCACTTGTTGAGTTTATGTAAAGCTAAAATTTCCCCAGAGTTGTTGGATATTGTATTAGATATTTTGTTTTGGTTGATAAGCTCTTAAATTCTCTGTTCGAATGATTGTTCAATAGATTTATAGTTCTTATGGAGTATTTTTTCTGTACTTTTACGCACTTTATGGTAAATTGTTAAGGCTTCACGAGTCCCTTATTTTCACAGTTAAATTTACAGAGTGACCTATTAGATTTGGGTGGACCTTCACTATCAGCATCAGAAGACGATCTTTAACACCCACCTATTCATCTTGTGGAAGTGCTACTTTCAATTTAGTGATTTACAACTTGAGAGTTGACAAACAAAACACAATTTTCTTTAGAATAGCAATTAGCTTTGCTCTACCCTATCCTCCTAATACATAGACTGCAAAACTCAGTTATATAATTTTTTTGTTTTCGTCTTATCTTTGTGGTTGATTATAATACTAAAGCCTGTTGAATTTTTCAAAGTTAAATACATCCTGCCTGCTTCATCATTTGTCTGGACAATGAGATTGTGTTTTCTCCTTGTCATCTAGATGTTGGTAGGTTACAGACAGTGTACTTGGAATTATAGTAAAAATTTTGTGGTTAAGTCTAATTGGAAGATTAGGAGTTTTTCAAGTCCAAGGCTGCTTTAAATTGTATTTAAATCTATGTAAGTTGTCAAGTAATTGAAAGAAGTTTTAAGATCCCTTGGAACCTCGTACAATCATCAAAGGTAATTCCATGTTTAAAACTTTACCAGGTAAGAAATGCATATCCTGAGCTGCTAAAAGCACTGCATTTGCATCATTCCCCCAAATGCCCTGCTGCTATGATTTTTTAATCAATTGCTGTGTCTTCGACTTTTTTTCTCAGTGATGTGCTTCATGATAATAATCCTTTTGTTACTTTTGTTATTTTCCCTCCAATTTTGTGACTGTTATTTGTCCTATGTAGGAAGCGTTTGTTGCTAATGGAGTATCACTTTTGCTCTGAACTTCTAATGATTGGCCAAAGTTAAATTGATTCTTCCTTTTTTTTTGGTCTATTTGGAAATGCAGACTGTTCCTTGGTCATGTGCGTGGGATGCCAACAATTCGCAGTACATGTATACCGGTTTACAGGTCCTAACACATAATCCATCTGTTGGAAAATGGTTGCCTCTTTTCATTTTTTGCGAGTCAAACAAAGTAATGTTTGACTAATAATTCTGAATGGATTCTCTCAGTATTTGACATGGCAGGAAATTACAACTTATGGTTCTTTTAATGTAGTTTTTTTTTTTTTTGAAATTAGCTTTTAATGCAGTTTCTAAATACGAATGAATATGTATCTAATATAGCTTGGAAACTTGCCAAGTAAAGAATCAAAAGTGACTAGCAAGTTGAAATTGAGGGAGCATTTATTTGTTTTCATTAGTTAATCTATCTTTCAGTTTGGAGACCCCGTTATTTATCCAAAAGAAAAATTAGTTAGTATCTCTCTTCATTTTCTCTGAGTATTTTTAGTTTTGTTTTTGCAGAATGGCATGGTTTTGCAGTTTGATCGGCGTCAAACTACAAGGCCAGTGGAATCTATGACGGGGTTGACAGGAAATCCTGTTCATACTGTGCATTCCCTTACATCTCCTACACTTGGTGATGGCGTTAGAAGTGTTCTTTCTGCATCTTCAGTAGGCTTGTGCCACTGGAACTTTGGTAGTGGTGACGGAAGGTGAGTTCTAGTATGTTTACTTCTTCGAAATTTCTGCTTCTTGAGGTGAATAAGTTTTCCTTAATATCTAATATCTTATGAGCTGCACCGTCCCTAACTGTAGCTTTAGAACTGTTAGGATCCAATGACTCTTTGCCGATTAACTGCCTCAAGAATATTTGCACCTTGGAATATCTCTCAATAGATTATTCTTGTACCTTGGCACTTTTAATCATTAACTAACTGCAAATTTAAATCTCAGCAATGTTCTCAAAGTAGCCTAACTGAAAATTAAGATCTTAGGGATATTCTTCAAGGAGCCTGCATTTTCTGGTCTCTGAGTATATTTTAGGTACTCATTCATCCTGTTCAAAAGATTGAAGTAGATACACTAGTGGATAGTATAGAAGAAAGAAATGGTTGAAGGCATTTAGTTGACCATTTTTCCAGATTTTGTAGAAAGAGATATTGCTTAAGAAGGTGCAGGTTGTACTCACTATATTTTTTTTGTAATATTTTACATATTGTGGTGAGATTAAGAGTGACTGTGTTCAACACAAATTGCTGCTCACTAAATAGTCCAGTTGGTTATTGAGTTACAGGTTCTTGAGAATGTAAGCTTTGTTATGGAAAAACAGTTAAGTTGCTAGTATGAAATGGTGATCCAATATCTCAAAAGATAGGTCAGAAAAATGATCTTGTAGATTATCTTCAGACAGCGTCTCAGTGAATGATACATGGGAGGTGATTGATTATATTTTGTTCCTTGAAGTTGTTTGTTAGCATGTTTCGCCTTTTCCTGATAGAAATAAACTTAAAGTTGTATGGTTCAGACAATTTGTCAGTCTGGTTTAAGAGATACTCTTAAATCTTAATCAGAACAACTACCTTCTCATCTAATGTCAAGGATCTAACTTGGTCATTGATTTTTTGTTGACTTAGTTTATTGTGGAGACAGCATGAATTTGTGTCTTGATATTTTCACAATCTGAAGCCATGGCAAGGCTTTACTCCTTAGTGTTAAGGGTTGCTAGGAAGTATCATTTTCTTCATAACTGAAGTCCTCCATGGACCAGTTGATGGACGCTTGGAACTCGTTGGATAAATATGCCATGCCCTCCCCTCTACCCTTCTTCACTTAAGTGCTACGCTTTTGCATGTGGCAATGTTTGAACTCGTGAAGTGTGGTTAGCCCATACAATAATGTGCTATGCACTTACCACTATACCAAAGCTCTGGAATTGGTTTGCTAGGAAGAATCTTGAAGTAGTTGCAAAGAACTTTCACTACTTGAGTTGTCAACAGTACAATCTTACTTTTTATTGTTGAGGACTTTAACCTTGTTAATCTATTATGGTCCTTGTTCACAGTTCAATCAACTATTTCTACAAATATGTAGGGTATATAAAGCTTTTTAGGGGCAAAAGTCACTGCTTTTTCTTGAGAGAGAAGCTCACTGCTTTTTAATGCAGAACTTTTTTTGCTCATATGTCAACTGTTTTCTGATTTTCGACGTGCTTGCTCTAGTACTAGAAATGATTGCTTTCCTCATAAATTGTTTGAATATGCATGGGTATGTCCAGAATCATGTTAAGAGGAGTTGAGTAGTTGGCGGGACAGATTTAAGTGATAAGAGTGTCAATTACATGGATGTAAATCGTGTAGGGATCAACTATTCACTTTTTAGTTTACTTTTAAATTTTAAGGCTGGTCTGAGAGATTTGTTTATCGTGAAGCTCTACCATATTGTCCACTAATGATAAGTGATAAGAACTTCTAAATGATAGATGTAGATCATGCCGGGACTAAATGTCTGTTTAGTTGACTTTTCACACTGGTCTAAAAGAGTGCTTTAAATGTTTGACTATGCTCCAAATCTTCTTTCAAGGAGTTTAGGGGCAGAGTGCATCTGATATACTGAAACAGATTATAGCTGGATCATCTGTATGGTTTTGGTGGTTTAAGAGAGTTATCTTGAAGCGCTGTGATATTCTCTAGTAATTTTTACGAATTCCATGTTTATAATAGAGTTTCATTTATCACTGAAGGCCGTGCTTGGTCCCTGAGTCAGAGAATCAAGGAATCTGTATATCTCTCGCTTGTGGAGATAGAAATGATGACATAGTTGCCTCTTTCCGTCCTAAACTGGAGATCTCTGGTGACATGGCTGCTTCTCAAGTATTGCCCACTCCAGTTTCTACAATGGAGCAAGCAGTATACGGCTCTCATGTTCTTTACAGGAGAGTTGGCAGCAGATACGAGAAGTTAGGAGTTTCTTGTGCCAAAGTTAGTGCCATCCGACTTCCAAAAACTGCTATAATTGATAGAGGGAAGAAGAACCCCATGTTTGCCTCTGGTGATGACGCAACAATGGAACTGGTCTTACAAGAATTGCCATCTTTAAATGTGGCTCAGCGTATTAAATCTCTGAACGGCCCAGTTCGCGATGTTAGGTATGCACACCTCCAAAATTCGGTATTGCTGGGTTGTTTGAGTGAGGATAAACTGCTGCTTTGCTCACATAAACTCCAATGAGAAAAGGTAACTTTTCATGGCCTGTTTGCTGTATTTGATTGTTTTAGTTATGTTTGTGTTTACAGTCCGAAAATGTCTTTCTATTCTTTCTGCTTGAGAGAAATGATTTGCTATTGGGTGCATTAAAGTTTTGCCTGCATGTCATTAGAACTCCAAATTTGGACTCTTGGCGATAGAACGGTTCTCCCAGATTCATGTTTGCAACCTATTTTATGTACTGCTAGAGTATTTTTGCAACGTAGTCTTTTGATCTTGAATTGGGTGTTTAGCTAGTTGTCAGTAATGTGCTACTTTCCGGTCAGTTTGATTTTGAAGTTTATTGCAGGTGGCTTCGAAGACTCGTTAAATCACCAGTATGCTGGATGCTTCATGTGACCAAAATTTTGACTGTATAGTTTAGCATCTAATGGGTGTAGAGATAGCATCTTTTTCTTTTGGTAGCTTTAGGACCCTGCTGTGAGTTTAGGTCAGAGCGTAGGCAGGTTGTAGAAATAATATACTATGTAATAATGCCGTGTAAGTTCTGTTCTATACACTGTTAGTGTATGTGTAATTTATTTATTTTTTGGTAAGAACTAAGATGTATATGTGTAAGTTATAATATAAGGTAAAGTTGACCTGCAACTGTAACGATAGATAAATCTTCTTATCAAGTTTCATAGAGTAAAAGCTTGTTCTAACTAGTTAAATAGCAGATACTATCAATATCTTCAGTCCAAAAGCGTGTACATCATATAAATTTGTGTTGTATTTTATAAAGTTTCATTTTGTTGTGAGGTTTGTTTAAGATGTTATGTCAGTCTAGAAGTGTGTAGATCTTATCTTAACCATGGGTGGATGCATAGTTATGATATTGGGTTCATCTAACCTAATACTTCAATTGCGCAACATAAATATTTACTAAATCACATAAATAGTAGGTATGAATGCGTTACTTTAGGAATATAATGGGTTTAATTCTATAAGTTTTGCAAAAAATGAATATGGTATCTAAAGATATTTATAAAATTAAAAAAATCCGACCTGCCGGATTCGAACCAGCGACCTAAAGATTACAGCTACTACTACAGTCTTCCGCTCTACCAACTGAGCTAAGGTCGGATTGTTATGTAAATTCTCACGCATATATATAATTTAATGGGTGTTAGATTTTTCAACTATAATAATTGAAGCTTACTAGTTTCTGCAATAACTTGAAGTTAATAGTACATTAATAATTAGATTTACAGGCAAATATTAATACTAAATCTACGTAAATCGATAATCAACCTTCTAGATGTCCCTTTTGATGGCCTTTTTCTTTTTTACTTTTGTTCTTACATTGGAGGCACTAATTCACTCTACATTTTGGTGACATTTACATGTTAGGAGCCAATTGATTGTTTTTTTGTCTCTTGTCTCTCAAATAGGTATTGACTAACCACAAAAACAAAATATTCAGTGAGATCTCATAGTGTAGGTTGGGGAGGGTAGAATATACGTAAATCTCACTTTTATATTTTAGAAAGATCCTCAACTCAAGTGAAGAAAATAAAAATAATAATATTAAGGGAAAATGACAGTGATGAAAAACATGTCAACTCATAAGAAAGTAGTGCGGATTATATATATATATGCAAGGAACTGTAACATCGATCAACAATAAGGTGCAATCACCTAAACCTAATACTATTACAATGATAATAGGTATTAAAAGCTAAAGACTACATGAACAGGCTAATACTATGACAATCACGGTGCTCTAGACTACCACCAATTCAAAAAACTACGTGAATGGGTTAACACTAAGACAACACTCGGATGCCTACTAACCTTCTCCCCTTATTCGCGACCCCTCAAACTCTCCTATCGAAGGTCATGTTTTCGGTAAACTGTAGATGTGTTATATCCTATCTAATGATCTTTCTTCAATACTTCTTCGACCTGCCTTTGTCTCTCCTCGTCCCCACTATCCCTAGCCTCTTAGACCTCCTCATACGGATATCTGCACATCTTCTCTTTACATGTCTAAACCATCTCATCTTCCCTTCCCTCATCTTGTCCATCATTCCTGGGCAAGACTACCTATTGACTCAAAAAGAATATAAAAAGTGGGTAGCAATGAATAACACATATATTAAATGATATTGGATTATGGCCTATACCTAGAGTCGAAATATAAGAATTGTAATTTATAATTTTTATAATAGTTTCAAATAATAATTGAGTTTATAATAAGATATTTCATGAATTTTTAATACATGTATGATTATGAACAAAAGTTATTAAATTCTCGTAAACTCATTGATAAAAGCTTTGGATTCGTCCATGACAATAATATATACCCTAAACAAGAAGGGATAGTAGACCTATCATTTCAAAACACAATTATAAGCTTATTCAGCTTTTCCCTACATGGATAATTCTTTCAACTCCACCACACATTATTGGCCAAAAATAAAAAGAAGCATAAATTTGTTATTAACTTATTATGTAATAGTAGGGGTGTCAAATGGGTGGGTTGGGTTGAAATTGAAGATATTAAAATGGGTTGAAATTGAAATTGAATTGGGTCTTGACCCGCCCAAATTTCAAATGGGCTAAAATACGGGTTGGGTCTTGATCTGCCCAATTTGACCCGATTAATCTCAATAATTTTAACATAGTGATATGTAACTTTTATAATCTCAATTCGAATTTCAACTCAAGTTTTTTTTTATTTAAAAAAGTAACAAATGGATAGATAAAATTCAAAAAGATGTTAAATAGATAATAAGTCATACCTTTAATATAGAAACATATCTTAGTAAAGAGTTTTAAAACGGGTTGAAATTAGAGATTGAATTGGGCTCAATTGAAAATTCTCTTAAAATGGGTTAGGCTTGAATGAGTTGAAATTGAACCCAATTCAAATTATCTTGAGCCCAACCCTTAAAATTTTGGGCGAATTAGGTGGGTTACCTATGTTTGGGTTCATTTTTGACACCCCTATGTAATAGTATCAAATTTTAGAGGTCTTTTCATCAAAAGTTGTGTTGTAAACTCATAGGGTCTCACTTCATCATAATTCATAGACTAGCCATATAGGTATGGGGTAGCCACCAATATCTTGGTCGTGTGGTAAGTATTTTTTTCATTTAGTTCGAATCTTGGATACAAAATCATTTCTGTGAGGAAACGATTACTCCCAAAGTGAAATTTTTCAACGTGAATTCTAATTAATCGCACTCTAAAGAAGATACTGAGCATCAAATTAAATAAATAAAAACAAAAATAAATGAATATAGGATTGGATCATATCAAGGGGCAAACAATCCTTGATACTAAACTAATCTTTTATTTGTTTATTTATTAAAAAGTTGACATCCTTTGCTAAGTTTTTTTTTCTCATTGCTACTAGGTCATTCTACTTGTAGCCATGGAAATATTTATGGGTCATTCTATATAGTAGGACAATGAATGTTATTACTATATTCCATGTGCAAACTGTCACAGTGGTCACTGCCCTACCAACTAAAAAAGCATACTTCTGCTCTCCTAAAAAAACATACTTATGTTTTATTTATTTATTTTTAAAAAATTAACGTTTATCCACCTCAAAATAACTTTAGATATACCGTATTTAAAATTACATGTAATTAAACTGAACTTTAGTCATGTAAAACTTTAGAAATTGCAATGTTTGAAGTTTGGGGAACTTGCGTAAATTTTACTGCTACTAGTTTAGGAGTTAATTACTTAGATAAACTATAATTTGCAATATTACATATCTTACTAGATTTTGGTGCATCCAGATACGTTCAAATACATTCGAATACATGTATCTTGGGATACATGATATCAAAATTAGGTGTAATTTGTTCTAGTATCTTACTGGATTCACATGTATCTGGGATACATAACAATCCTCCCTCACCACTCTCCTATGTATCTGGTATCCATATACATGCGAATCACACCAGATACATACAAATACATGTATGTAGTGTGATTCGCACTGGAGATACATAACGAATCTCGTTCGCCTCCCTCTCCATCTCGCTCACCTCCCTCCCATCTCGCTCCACTCTCTCCCTATTTTAGTGTATCTAGTAGCAAAAATACATATATCTAAGTGTATCTTTATCAATATATGATAGGAAACTCTTAATTAGTGATACTATACGTAATATTTTGAAAGTATAAATAATAATAATAAATACGATAGTGAAATATATCTAATTTTATATAGTTTGATAGCCTTACAAATTCTTGTGCACGGCTCATATGACTTAAATGATGATCTCAAAATCAGGTATTTGTGTAACTCACTTTATAAAAAATTGTGGAGCTTCTAAAGAGTTAGAAAAAGAGAGTTAATTCGCCACGATCGATTCACCCTGTTAATATGTGATCAAGCCTATTTCAAAACTAATTTTGCAAATGAACATTGTTTAGTCAGCATAATAGTTTGAATATCGCTCTATTTAAACTCATTTCAATCCGATATTACATAAAATAAAATTTGATAAAACTCCAGCCTTATATTATTACTATATTTTCCAAAAAAATTGCTATGATAACTTATTCCTAGTCATTTCCCATCATCCCAACTTTAATCAGTATTGAAACAAAGACTGAAGAATTTGAGTTCAGAGTTTTTTGTTTGTTTATTTTTTGTATGTGGTTGTCCATGTTATACGTGTGAATAAGCCAAAACATTAGCATTATATATAATTTATTTTTATAATTAACATATGAAAAATGAAATGTGATAACATTACATATTATATTACTTATTATAAGTGGCCTACACATCTCTTCTTTTTCTTGAAACATCATATCATGATAATAGCACTTTTAGTCTATTAATTATTGTGTGAATATTAATTAAGTCATTTTTTTTTAGTTTTTCATTCGATATTTGGTTCTATAATGGTACTATTTAAATTTGAATTTGTATCAGAAAATTTCATATTGAAGCGATAAAGTAATTTCTAACAAACCCTCTATCAAAATTTTGAATATGAGACTTTCGATTATGGATGAAAAATATTTAATCTTTATCACTTCACCACTTTCTTTGTTAGTCCGCACTCCTCGTGATGTTCGATAAAGCATATATAATCTTCATTAACTGAATGTGTATATTTTGTTAAGTTTGTCGGAAATAATTATTCTTGTTGTCAAATATGGAGCAACAATATAAGTTTTTTAATATAATACACGCGAGTAATTGAGTGGTGAAATAATTAATAGTCATAGTAAATTTGTGAATATTTATAGGTAATGAGATAAAAAATGCATATTTCAAAGTCAAAATTAATTATACTAAGTCATAATAACCGCACCAGATCTTTCAAAAAACTTTTGGACAAAACAAAAAGATTTTAAGCCTTCACACAAGCAATTAGTGCGGGAGAAGAAGCATGAAGCTACTAGTTTCTTCGATCGATTGAAATATATATAACAATATAAAGGCTAAATATCCACAAGATGATAAAATAAGGAAAATTCCGAATTATTGAATTAATAATATTGAATGCTATTTTTGTGATCTTGACTTCTCTATGTAACGTATCTATATGTTCTGAAACATTCTAGCTTTTCAATAATTTATTTTAAATTATTGTTTTGAATTAATTAAAAAGCTTCCCACCAAAACAACCTACCCCATTTGTTTGAATTATTCCCAAACAGTTAAATTATTGATAATATGGACAAGATTAAAGTATTTCTATTTTTTCTTTGAGATTTCATTTG